GCAACTGCTGGATGGTCAAGGTCATCTACTTTTGAGCGATTCTATCATAAGCCCATCCCTTCTCAGTCTGATTTCAATGTTATCCTAGTGAGTCTTTGAACCATACATTGTCATATATTCACCTCACCATGACGTGGAATCCTTAATCTCGCAAGCATCTAAGATGTGATGTGAGATTGTGATTCCACTAATGGGGAGGTGAATATATGACACCCTCCCATCATTTTGGAATTTTTTATTTGTCACTGAGCTGCTCTTTTCCTTATCTAGGAAGATAAAGCTGATCCTTAGGTCAAGCTCCTCTCTACTGATATGGACACAGATTGTACCTTTAGGCCTTTATAGTGATTCTTTGAGTATACTTATTTTCCTAGTTATTGCCCTTGCTATGTACAGCAACGTGTGTTGTTCATATTTACTTTCACATTCCTTATTGTTTGATCCAATTTATTGTTTCTATACAATATACCAATAATTGTACATCCACTTTGGAAGCTATGCTGCAAAAATTTTGGACCGAGTGACACATCACGTGAATGAGGTTTTATACCTTTGAAAAATTGCTAAATTATTAATAATTAATGAGATTCATTGGCCAAATACATTGTCATATATTCATCTCCCCATTAGTGGAATCACAATCTCACATCACATCTTAGATGCTTGCGAGATTAAGGATTGGATAGCAGAACTACACAGACTAGGTCCACCTAATATTGTATTAGCAATTGCTGGAAATAAATGTGACCTTGAAGATAAAAGAGAAGTATGACTAGTATAACTGTATATGTACATAAAAGTATTAAAATGTAACAAAAGTTTGAGGTGATTTTGGAGCCATTTTTCCAAAAGAACCATGGGTTATAGTCTTGGGTATTATTCAAAAATTAAAAAAAATGGCCATAACTTGGGAAATTTAAGTCGGAATCACCTCAAACTTTCTACACAGCATAAGGACATTAATATGTATCAGAAAATGTAATAAAAATTTGGGGTGATTTTGGAGCTATTTTTTGGACAAAACCATGGGCTATGGTATTTTTCAAAAATTATAATTGTATATGTACATAGCGTAAGAGCATTGAAATGCATTTAAAAATTTGTGTTGATTTTGGAGCCATTTTTCTGAAAAAACCATGGGCTATAAAATTGGCCATTTTAAAAATGGCCATAACTTGAAAATTGAAGTCGGAATCAGCTTAAACTTTCTACACAGCATAAGGACATTAATATGTATCAGAAAATGTAATAAAAATGGGAGGGGGTGATTTCGCAGCAATTTTTAAATAAAAATCATGGGCTATAGCCTTAGGTATTTTTTCAATAATTAATTGTTTTTTAAAATGGTCATAACTTGAAAAATTGAAGTCAGAAGCAACTCAAACTTTTTACACAGCATAAGTACATCAATGTGTATCAGAAAATGTAATAAATCCTCTCTCTCTCCCTCTCTCTACTACATTCTCCTTTTATCTCCTCTCCTTTCTCTCCCTCCTCCCTTCTCCTCTCCTCTCAGATTCTAGCTGAACAAGGTCAGACTTATGCATCAGAAGTTAATGCCATATTTGGAGAGACTAGTGCTCTCACTGCTAGGAATGTTGAGGAAATGTTCATTGAAATAAGTGAGTAGCTACTAATGATGTACTGTAGTATGTACTATTGTAACATAATCTCTCTCTCTCTCTTGTCTCATAGCTCGTAAGTTACCACCAGATTGTTTAACTAGTTTACCAGCTGGTGCCTCTCTCTTAAGACAGACTGATACACCACGTGCTAAGGGAGGATGCTGTGGAGGAGGGGGAGGGGACAAAGGACCATCATATGATCATAATAGTTCAGTTATAATAAGATAATAAATTAATGATTATTATTATTATTATTATTATTTTAATAACAACTGACACATGTACTGCTTGCCCAATAAGCTGGTTGTACTATTCTCTTCTATTTTATTATATAGGCGGTAGCCTATATGTAGGATTGAGGTTGATTTTTC